CTGTCTGAGGAGTGCTGGGAATTGTAGACTTTTTCTGTCTGAGTGTGCATATAATTGCATCTTTAGAAGCATAAATTTGCTTCATGCTTCTAAATTATAACTAGCCAGAGGCTTTCAGATTATTTATTTATTTATATTCCACCATTTTCCTTTTTTAAAGAATTCAAAGTGGCTTACATCATTCTGCGTCTTGTATGCCACCTTCCATTTTAAAAAAAGTTATATCTGATAGTGATGCAGCAGTTTAATATGTGCTCTAATTAAGAATGAAAAGTGGCCCATGACTGATGTATCTACAACCAGGCTGCACTTAAATATGATAAACTGCAGTTTAGGAAGACGACTACACGAACTTCTGACTTGCATGTTTTTCCTTCCTCATTCCTTCAGTACTGTAGCCAGAGGAAGGGAACCTTAAGTTTTGCTTTCAAGTTAATAACAGTTTAGCATTGCATTCAGACCCTAAATGTAGTCATGTTAACTAAATGTCTTGTGGCTAGGTTATTTGAAATGTAATTTCTTCCTGCATGTGTGTGCCTGACTCTTAGGAGGCCCTTCTGTGGGTGCCCTACCAAACACAATGAGGTATGTGTGTCTAGAATTTCAGCCAAAATAAAGGGACAAGAAATTTCCCAAGAAATTTAGGTATGCCTAAGACTCATCAAGTGACATCAACAGTGAGTGATGTTAGAAATCTGCCGCTGAGAATTAGGAATACTGACATTTCAGTACTATTTATTTTTCAAAGTTATATCCTGCTTCATTGGATTCAAATCATCTGCAATTAAATGAGATGATGTTTCAAACAAAATGAAACATCATTTTTCATGACTACTAATATGACTACAAAACAAAACATTCAGGGTGGAGCACGATGGGCGGCTCTCACCCAGAATAGCCCCACAAGGAATAAACGTATTCAGTGGACACAGAATACGCTTACAGACTTTAGTGTGGGGAAAGAGAAAACTGGGCAGGAGTACATTCTCAAGAGCACTAACACATAGATATAAAAACTGTATAGAAAACTAATTCATTGTCTGAAAAATGCACTTTACTCTGAGAAATTATTTTTAAGTGCCCCTAAGTATGCAAGGGAGAGCTATGTATAGAAATCAGTAGAGACAAAAATATTTTCATGTAGCCTGCATTGCACACCATAGTCTGTTTCCTTCTGAGTGTCGCCACAGTCCCCCACAAAAAAGGCTAACAGCAAAGAAGGGTTCCTGTAATTTCTAATGTTGTTCTTATTCAGCATGAAACTTGTTAAATCTGCTAAATAAATCTTGAAACCAGTGCAATATATTGTCTCTGTATTGCAGATTGGAAGGACTATGACTGTGAGACTGATGTGTGATACCCTTACAGTGTAGTGCAAGTAAATGCTGAAGGCCAGGCTCTGAGTTTACAGCGCCTCTGCAGTGTTACTCATTGCTTTTATAGCCACATTGCAGGTTGGGCTGAGTTATCACTATAGTATAGTTCATTGCTGTATGAATTCTGGATGATTATGCCAAGAGAAATAGTTTACAATGACTCTGCAGTGTAGTCCATCATTAATATGACTGGGTTTTGGTGGGGCTAAAGCTGGTTTAACTCCTATTCAAAAATGTGTCATATCTCTTAAGTTACTTAAAGGCCTAATCAGGGTTTTCATTGCATGCAGAAGGCTCTTGCTTCAAGACTGGATGTACTTTTGTGGTGGGGGGGGGGGCTCTTACTGGATGGATTGATTTACAATTAAAGTGAAAGGCAGAATTTTAAAATCACTGATTTGAGTTTTCCATTTGTTGTTGCTAGTTGTGCAGTCATGTACGACCCATCACAACCCCATGGACAACATTCCTCCAGGCCTTCCTGTCCTCCACCATCCCCCAGAGTCCACTTAAGCTCACACCAACTGCTCCCGTGACTCCATCCAGCCACCTCATTCCCTGCCATCCCCTTCTTCTTTTGCCATCTATTGTTCCCAGCATTAGGCTCTTCTCCAGTAAGTCCTTCCTTCTCATTAGGTGGCCAAAGTATTTGAGTTTCATCTTCAGGATCTGGCCTTCTAAAGAGCAATCAGGGTTGATCTCCTCTAGGACTGACCGGTTTGATCACCTTGCGGTCCAAGGGACTGACAGGAGTCTCCTCCAGCATCCAGTTCAAAGGCCTCAAACCTTTGGTGCTCAGCCTTCCTTATGGTCCAGCTTTCACAGCCATACATTGCAACTGGGAAAACCATAGCCTTGACTATACACACTTTTGTCGGCAGGATGATGTCTCTGCTTTATCTGACCATTAAGCCATGTTCATTTGCAATTAAATATAGTCATTACACTGTCCCTTCCTACTTATAACCAGGCTGTTCCTCTTGTATGAATTGTACAAGGTTTCCTTCTAAATTGATAAAGGTAATATCTTTTAGATAATGGTATATGTAGTGTACTTCCTGTGACTTAATGACAGTAACAGTTTGTGATGTCAAGTATGTAAATATAATTTTTCCCTGTGCAGAATTGCTCTTAACTGCTTCGCTTTTCCCTAACTTAGCCCATCCGCACGCGCGTGCGTGCGTGCGCGCGCGCGCACACACACACACACACACACACACAAGTACCATGACTGTTAAGTTACTGGGCAGGGAAAGCAGTTTATTTTTCATTAGTGCAAATGAAATAGCAGTTGAAGACAATGGTGGATGTTCATATTTGAAAAACAGTAACATTGGTTCTTAGTTTCATAAAATGTTCATATCTGCATGCCAGACTAATGCTGCAAAATGTTGCTGTGGGAGCTGGCAGTAGAAGGTAATAGTAACAATGTTTTAAATTTAACAGTGCAATTCTGATTATCTTTTCTATAAAAGAAGGAAAGCAGGCTATCATTGAAGTTATTGTTGCCCATGTTCTGGCTAATTATATGTACATCCTATCCATGCAGGAGTTTTGTACAGACAGGAGGCACAATAATAGTGCTGGGATACAGAGCACTTTTAAATATATCTGTGATTTGTGAATTGTTTCCTTCTCTTTCACACTACCTACCTCCTCACTTCTTTGGTAGCCTGTGATTTCCGGGTCTGAATACTAAAACTGACAGCTAAATTTCTGATAATGGGATAACTGGTCGGAAAGATGGATGAAAAATCATTAGACACAAAACACTTTCATAGAATGATGCCAAGTGCTGTGAACAGACTAGATTTAGAGTAGCAATTATCCACTGGTTCAAAGAGAATTACAGGATCACAGAATAAATTACTGTTATTAAAAGAGGGCAAAGTGTTGTCTTTGTGTTTCTCAGTCTTGACTATTCTTGCCCCATGGAGGGAACTATGTATGCTAGTTTTATTTTATTTTATTATTTATTAATCTTATTTTAAAAGAATTCTGGACATTTTTAAAAGTCATCTTTTTGATTCTAAGATAACCGTGTGTCACTTAAGGAACAACTGTACTCACATGAACAACTCCTCAGCTTACAGTATGGGCAGCTGCATAGTAATGACATGAGAGCACAGCTAAAATGCCATTAACATAGTGGTTAATTTTTAGCAAAATTGCTTTCAGGGCATCTTCCCACACTTAAGATCTCAGCCATGGAAAAGATAATTTGCATGTACAGCAGTTAAAAAGATTTTATCTGTTTGGGTTAGTAAATGTTTTAACAAATTTTCCTTACAATATTACAAAACAAATAAATGCAACCAATGCAATTTCAGGCATGTATTTCAGAACTGTATCATTTTGTTAAAGTTTGTTGTAACTTTCAAATGTCAAAACAGAAATAAAACCAGGGAAGTAAAATAAAATTAAGTTGCACACAGCTAGAGGGGGACACTGTGCTTAGGTGTTTCTATACAAATACTAGAAACCTTAGAGCCTAAATATGAAAGGTGGAGTTCCTGGTGACAAAGGAGAAGCTAGATATAGTGGGCATTGCAGAAACGTGGTAGAACAAAGACAACCAATGGAATACGGTCATTTCTGGATATAAACTATATGGGAAAGACAGGGTAAGACTCTATGCTAAGGAGGGAATAGAGTCCAGCAAACTTGATCATTACCTTTCAGACTATTAGGTATATCATATCGTTGAGATGTTAAGTGCCCACACCTTTTTGTGAAGTACTGAGGTGCCTTTGTATCTAAGACTGGCTTCAGACTTTGATCTACCATATTAAAATATTTGGCTTTATTTTTAAAAAGCCATGTTCCCACAGCATTCACATACACTACTAAAGTGTGTGTTTCTTGAATGTGATAAATGCCATCCGGACTCTGCTTTCAATAGTCTACAGATCTGTCAGAACCAATATTTATATTTTACCTAAACTGACTGAGTGGCCTTTCATTTTATCAAATTTGATTGCACTTTTAACATTTACTGTATTATTTTATATAAATTGTTATAGGTTACTGATTGCCTCGAAGGCTACTTGAAATAAAAAAATACTTCAGCTGAGAAGAACTGTAAAATGCAACATAGCAAATGTCTCTGTTTGCCAACATTTTTTTCCTGCCTAGAGAATGAGTTTAACCAGAAATAAACATATTAATAAACCCTGTACCATATTGATTGTTATCTCTCAGTTTCAGTTTAAATCTAATTAAGAGACTTCTGAAGACACAGGGTATTTGGAGAACACATTCATCTTCATATTTTCTACCCGGGTGTCTGAAGCACCAGTTTTCCTCCCACACTACTCTTAAGGAAACTATAATTTTAAAAAAATGAATGTGATGGAGAAAGGGCATTGATATGGCATTTTTTTGCATATAGAAGCCCCCAGGATCAGTTCATGAAGACTTCAGTACCGAGTTTGGTGGACTAGTGACCTCACATTAGACAGCTTTTGAGTGAATTTATTCCTTTATTTCATTCCATTTCTATGCTACCCAATAACCTGAAGGTTCTCTGGGTAGCTTAACCATTCTTGTTCCAGTTACCCATGACAGTTGAAAGTAAGTTTGGTATTGTACCTAATAAAAACCCTACTGGCTTGTGTCTTTTAGTGGACAGTTTGCAGTAGTAAGGAAATGTCGCGAAAAAAGCACTGGTGTACAATACGCTGCCAAATTCATCAAGAAACGAAGAACAAAATCCAGTCGCCGGGGTGTCAGCCGAGAAGACATTGAACGAGAAGTGAACATACTAAAAGAAATTCAGCACCCCAATGTGATTACACTTCATGATGTTTATGAAAGTAAAATGGATGTAATCCTTATTCTGGAACTGTAAGTATTTTTGAAATCACTTTGCAAGGCCAGTTTCTGAAAATCAGGGATGTGTATGATGGGCATGTGGCATTTTATTTGTATTGAAAAACCCTTTGTTGAGATAAGCTGATGGCCAGCAGTAAAAATATTAGTGGAGTGATTGTTATTATTAAACTAAGGTGAGATGGCAGTCCCCATATTTTCTTGTGTGTGACAGATTCTTTTCCATGCTCTAGCTTTCAGTTCTTTTCCTTCTGCTTGCTTTTGGAGCTATAGAGATCTAGCCAGACAAAACACAGACAGCTGAATACTATTAACTAAGAATCTCAAAGGCATTAGGAAGCAACTTGGTCAAGACTGAAGGCCGTGTTGTAAGATTCCATCATCTTTTTTTCCCCTTATTTTTGTTTTGGGGGTTTTCTTTTACAAAACTTAATTCTTAAGCTAAACTTCAACTCACACTTAAAATGTAAACTTAAGCTAGTTTAAGCTTAGTTCTCAAAATTTAAACAGTAGCACAGTGGCCATATAAGAGGATGACATGAGACCCATGGGTCTTGCATTACTCATGACTGATTTGAGATATATTCTGAAGGAGCTTTTGTATCAACCGAACGGTCTAATTAAATCACTGGGCTATGATATCAGTGCATAGATTGCTATTAATTTTGTTCAGGCTTGGATAGGTTTTTGTAATTGTTGCTCAACTTCTAGCTTTTGTTACCAAGAAATAAAGCATCTTACCAGTTTCTTTTAAAAGTGAAGATGAAACTGGCAACAATAGAATAGAAAAGATTATATTTTTTATGTTGAAAGAGCCCTTTTCAGAATCAGTTTTGAATAATTTAAATCATATGGATTTATATATGCTGTGTGTGATTCTATTCTGTTTTGTAAACAGAAGATTCATATTTGCAGTGAATATGGCTACATTAAGTTGCTATTTTTATTCTTTATGTCTGTCAGAGAATGAAACAATTCTATTCCACTCAAAGCATCCCTGGCATCCATTGAGTTTTGAAGCTACTTTACTTTTAAACGTTTTTTTATTAAAAATGTTACAAAATAAATAGAAAACCCCAATTTCTTAGACAATAAACCTTTCCAAGAAAATGAGTAAAGAGGGTGGCTGAGCTCCAGAACACAAACCCACAGCTTTCGGTTCCACCCACTTCACAGACATGCAAACTGGTGAGGATAAATCACACTAAAGTAACCTGAACACCCATTTCCACATAGAAAATATATACAGGACATGCATGCATACCCTGCTGCCATTCCTAACTCATCCACTGCTTATTCAGCATTCTTTTTCCACTTGCCAGACAGCAATTACTGGCTGAGCATACTACATGGCAAAAGATTGGTCTACAGCTGCTCACCATCCACCATCTTTATTTCTTAAGAACGTTTCTGAGTGCCACCTGGAGCCCAGAGGCATTCACTTAATGTATAATGGAGATGGTGGTTGTGGCTGAAAGTTCTCATTTTTATTTGAAGGTAATTTAATTTCAGCTACAGGGATTTTTTTTTAATTAATAAGGAAGACAAAGGGACTCCGCAGGCACTGAGGTTGCTATTTGCACCCTTGCCAATGCCTTCATTAAGGCATAAGAAGAAAGAGTAAGGCACTCTTAAGGCTGCAATAATTGGCTAATTTATCGGTTTGATTTATTGAAAATGCTTAGATTGACTAAAAATCCCCAGATTACTTTATGAAAACTGAACAGTCTTATCCAGAGTTCATTATTTCAGTTGCTTTCTTTCCCCTCTCAAGCTAGTATAAATCCTTGCTAACTTTAAAACTGTATTGCTTTTTGCAGGCATGGTTTAATGTCAGTATATTTGAATTTTTAAAATTTCCATCCTTTATTACTGTGTTCTTATAATAATGTGTGGATCTAAAACAGAAGTAAAGTAAAAGAGCAGTTTAGATACATTATAATAAACTTTAAGCTCCACTCCTTTGTGGTACTCTCTTCCATTTATTTCCAATGTGTAACCGCATGGGCTTTTAAAAAAAGTTATGTAACCTGAAATTGTAAAATTGGAGAAAGGTTGCAAAATAGTAGTTTTTCTATACAGATTATGTAGAGGAAGCATGCAAAATATAATTTGCAGTAAAAGTTAACCACTAGTTCTCTTGGCTTGAGTCATGAACTAAATATTTCAGTATGACTTATTTTTCTTAGTACCTGCCGAGCTGATTATTCATTTTAAAAAATTCTATAAAACCTTTTGTCTTCCATTTAAGGCATTTTACAATTATTTGAATGTATAATTTCTGTGCTTTTTCAGTTTCTAATCTCACTAATCTTTCTGTTCTTGATCTTTGTATAATCACTTGTGGAACTAACATAGATAGTTCTAATAAAATGCAGTACCTTTCAAGTGTATCACCTGATTCCTCATGTTAAGTATCTGTGCACACAACTTTAAGCAGTTATATGGAATTCTCTTCATACTGCTCTCCAGATTCCTTGGACACATTTAGCATTAAGTCATTTGTTCTTTGCACATTAATGGTTAGCCACTACAAATCTTGTGCTTAGTTCTCTCTTTAGAGTCCCACTGATTTTAGTATGACTCTCTGTTCTTGATCTGATCTTCAAAGAAAATATCTGGAGCGGCCTGCTGATAAAGGACAGGTTGTTTTGCTGATCATTCCCTTCCTTTTCCTCCTCAGTGTTAAGAATCATGAGTAGTGAACAACAAGGTTAGCTATTTTTGATGGCTAGCCTCATACCCTTAAATCAGAAGCAGGGCTTAAATTTATTTCTGTTAGAAAAGTATAATAATTGAACTCTTGTTACGTTTTATGTCGCACATGTAAGTGGTGCATGTGCGTTTGCTAACTCATTTAGCAAAATTAGTGGCAAGTTTCTCAATAATTTTTGCTCTTAACAATTTTGTATTGTGCAATACAAAACCAAAAAGCCCTGCACCATTAGAGAAGAGTAAAAAAGAATAAAAAGAGAATAAATAATAAAATATAAAACTTTACAGCTTTGAATAAGATTTTAAAAGATCCATGTTTAGTTACATAATATATTTCATATCCCTGTGTATTAACATATAACATTACTGAGAGTAGTTTTGCATAGATTTCAGCAAAAGCACTTTAAGAAACATAGAAACAAAGCATGTCAGAAGGAAACCTCCTAGGTCATCTAGTCTGATCCCCAACTGCAGCCAGCTCCGTTCATGCAATCCCCAACATGTGGTTATCCAGTCTTGGACTCTCCTCTTCTCCAGGCTGAAAAGATCCAGTTCCTTCAATCTCTCCTTATATGTCAACCCTCCCAACCCAGTTACCATTCCTGTGATCCTGCACTGAACTGATTCTGACCTAGCTATGTATCTCCTATAATGTGGAGCCCAGAACTGGACTCAGTACTCCAGTAGTGGGTGCACCCGAGTCATGCAGAGCAGTATCAACTCCTCCCTAGATCTGGAAGCCACGCTTCTGCCTATACATCCAAGGGCAGAGTTTCCCTTCTTAACCGCCATGTCACACCCATATATTTATCCATTTGTAGTTGATGCTTAAACTGTACACTTTGTTAACTTCTCCATATATTCTGTTATAACAGCTTTCAGTATTATAATATCAGTCAAAAGGATAAGACAAATTCATTTGTACAGCCCTTATGTTCCAAGAAATGGGTGGATAATTCAGTAGGGCATATGTATCCTTAATTATGAAAGAACTTTCCATCCCAAAGTTTATCTGAATTATTACCTCTTCCAAAAGGGAGATAATGTCAAACCATAGGAGGAAGAGAAGCATTGACAGCATTAAACTTCCAGCAATTTGTTGATTTAATTACGTCTTCCTGAAACGGATGTTGTAGTGATGTATATAGTTTCTTTTTCAGGACTATGCATGCTTACTCTTCAATTATGTGTTCATTCCTACCCCACCAGTAATGCATTTGCTTTGTGTTTGCTTCATAGCTCTCATACCTGAAAGTTCCAAAGTGAGGGGTGAAACAATAAGACAACTCTTGTGGGCTAGTGATATCTATAGGAAACCATCATAGGGTATTGTGGTGGTATTGAGAAGATGTGACCAATTAAATCACAGTATCCAAGTCTGCTTAAAATTAATGGGAGCAATCAAAAAGGGTCTGTTGATCCAATTCTCTTTTCCTGCACCCCAACAAAAGTGATTTAATCTGATAATTTAACCAGATAAATTTATCTGTCGATTCAATCTATTCTTATTCCTTCTTTTCCTCCTTTATACTCATTGTTAATTAAAATAAATATTACTGGGAAGTGCATCATATAACTGATTGATTAGAATTTTTTCCCCCTATGCATAGTAGTGATGGTGAAATTACTTTTGCTAGCATAGTTGTTGGACTATTTGGGGAATATATTGGGGAGATAAGAGTTCCTAGAATCATGTGACTCCTTGGTCAGTCCCAGCACTTCTGTTTTTGTCCCATCAGGGGAAGGTCAGCCATAGCAACAGAGCTTTCTATGAGCATTCATGGAGCACCACTTCATCACACATCCCAGATTTGTCACATACACCAGTCCTTTCAGAGGCTTCTTCAAGGGAGCATAATTTAGCTTCTTAAAAATGGTTGATTTGAAAGTACAGTGGTACCTCGGCTCACAAACAGTTCAGTTCACAACCAAATCAGATCACAAACAAAAATTTCATAAAAATTTTAACTCAGGTCGTGAATTCCACATTGGGTGGTAACCATGATTGTGGCCATCTCCCCCCCCCCCCGAGTGGGGACATGGCTGCGATCGTGCTGGGAGTGGGGGGAGATGGCCGAGATCGCACCTGTCTTTCCTGTATAAACACACGCATGATTGCGCCCCTCTTTCCTGCAGGAGCACAACTGCGATCTCGGCCATTTCCCCTCCACAGCATGTTTGCACCCATCTCTCGCCCCCAGCATGACCGTGTTCACACCCGTCTCCCCCCCGCACGTTTGAGTTCGCACCCCTCTCCTCCCCAGCACACCCACAATCGTGTCCCTCTCTCTCCCCCTCAG